GGGAAAAGGTAAGTAAATGGTGTTTAAGTCCAGAGGGTCAGGGTTTGTGGGTTTGTGTTCCTGACCATATGGTGCTCCTTTACGGGGAGAGAGTGTGAGTGTCTATTTAATAGATACATACACACTGAAATCACGCATTATTTTACTTATTGGGGGTGACACTCTCCTTTATGTGGTTATCCCAATGCAGCTCAATGAAAAGTCTTCACAACACACATCTTGTAAAATCACCTGTAAGTATTTACTATGGCAAGACATCAAAAAAAGACGACAGCGCCCAATTTTTTGAGTGTTTATTTACCCCAGGAAAGGGGAAAAAAAAGTCAAATTGATATAAAATTCTTACGTAATACAGTAACTTTCATACAATCTGCTAGGTTACACTATTGCAGAGGATAACCTTCATACACAAATGCTTAGTGACAACAGTTGTGCCTAACATGACTGCAGCGAATGCAGTATTATTAGAATAGAGAGCAGATATCTTCCACGACAATCAAATGACTAAATTGAAGTTATATTTACTTTTAATAAAGACCAAACCCCTAACATAAGCCAATCACCCATGCAGTCTCTGATTATTACTAGACAGGCTTGTAGTCAAGTTTAGACTCTAATTTCTTGGAATCTGCAACCTTTCTCACGGCTTTCATGAAGTCTTCCTGGACCACAAAGTCATGATCTGCCCGAATGGCGAACATTCCTGTATAAGAGAAGAGACCCCATTAGCTGTAACCCAGTCTATGCACTTACCCTGCAGTACACAAACCGTGCCAAACTCAAAGAGGTCACATTCACAAGTCAGCTTGTCATAGGTTTCAATCCACAAAATAAGAAGTATTTTGTGCCTTTGTGAAGCTTATATGAAGCTATAAGCCTCTATATGGATAACCGCTCGGCAGAGCTGTAGCAGTTCATTAACATTTACCATAGTTAACATTTTATTCAATGCAAAACAAATGTTCTGTAGCTGGATATTTGTCAGGAAAGGGTGGGGCTTACAGGTACTTCATGAAATAATAGACAAGCTGTAAAAAGGTACAAAGGATTCCATAATGAGGACACAATTAAGGGTGTGAAAGAATTGTTTCCATACCAGCCTCAGTGCAGACATTCCTTAGATCCGCTCCATTAAAGCCATCGGAAAGCTTCACAATTGCTTCATAATCTGAATAAGCAAAGACAGTAATAGGACACATTAATGGGAGAATACCAACACTTGTTATTGCGCCTCAAATATCCAGGATAGTACTAACCGGCCACAGAACTAGATACACCTCGCATCCCCAGGACACACGTCACAAATAACAAGGATAGTACTAACCGGCCACAGAACTAGATACATCTCACACATCGTATCCCCAGGACACATGTCTCAAATAACCAGGATAGTACTAACCGGCCACAGAACGAGATACACCTCGCACATCGTATCCCCAGGACACACGTCACAAATATCCAGGATAGTACTAACCGGCCACAGAACTAGATACACCTCACACATCGTATCCCCAGGACACACGTCACAAATAACCAGGATAGTACTAACCGGCCACAGAACTAGATACACCTCGCACATCGTATCCCCAGGACACACGTCACAAATAACCAGGAATTTACTAACCGGCCACAGAACTAGATACACCTCGCACATCGTATCCCCAGGACACGTCACAAATAACCAGGAATTTACTAACCGGCCACAGAACTAGATACACCTCGCACATCGTATCCCCAGGACACGTCACAAATAACCAGGATAGTACTAACCGGCCACAGAACTAGATACATCTCACACATCGTATCCCCAGGACACACGTCACAAATATCCAGGATAGTACTAACCGGCCACAGAACTAGATACATCTCACACATCGTATCCCCAGGACACATGTCTCAAATAACCAGGATAGTACTAACCGGCCACAGAACTAGATACACCTCGCACATCGTATCCCCAGGACACATGTCTCAAATAACCAGGATAGTACTAACCGGCCACAGAACGAGATACACCTCGCACATCGTATCCCCAAGCATGTCTCAAATAACCAGGATAGTACTAACCGGCCACAGAACTAGATACACCTCGCACATCGTATCCCCAGGACACATGTCTCAAATAACCAGGATAGTACTAACCGACCACAGAACTAGATACACCTCGCACATCGTATCCCCAGGACACATGTCTCAAATACCAGGATAGTACTAACCGGCCACAGAACGCACATCGTATCCCCAGGACACATGTCTCAAATAACCAGGATAGTACTAACCGGCCACAGAACTAGATACACCTCGCACATCGTATCCCCAGGACACATGTCTCAAATAACCAGGATAGTACTAACCGGCCACAGAACGAGATACACCTCGCACATCGTATCCCCAGGACACATGTCTCAAATATCCAGGATAGTACTAACCGGCCACAGAACTAGATACACCTCGCACATCGTATCCCCAGGACATGTCTCAAATAACCAGGATAGTACTAACCGGCCACAGAACTAGATACATCTCACACATCGTATCCCCAGGACACAAGTCACAAATAACAAGGATAGTACTAACCGGCCACAGCACAAGATACACCTCAGACACTGCTAAGAATTTAAAGGGAACCTACTCTGAGCACCAAAGCAACTATAGCTTAGTAAAGTGGTTTTGGTGTGTATAGCTTCCACCCCTGCAGTCTCACCGCTTAATACTTTGAAATTTATGAGTTAAACATAATACTTGAAGGACAGCTCTAGTCCTAGCAGGGACTCTACTACGCTGGTAACACCAAAGTACAGTCAGGAACAAGTAGAACAATCAAAGAATCTCCCACCTCCACCCCAGCAACCGGACGATACACAGTTCTGGGAGTACAACAGTTTTTTCACATACACGGCTTTTATACTCAGTCCCAGGCAAGGGGTTTCACATTCAATAATGCAGGGTTTTCAATCCTAGGATCATCTGTGCCTGAGAAAACTCCTCTAATTTAATTATCTCCAAGGTACAGAACATGCAACAAAATATCCTGTACCCCAAAAGTACCCTAACGATACCCCAGGACCCCACGAAAAGTACATTCCCCAACCTGACTGTCCAACATATCCAAGAATCACTCAGATCGGATTGGCAGAACGGGAATGGCATTGTGGTAAAGTTTTGAAGGGCCAGACGCGAGGCGCTAACCCAAAACAGTTCCAGGGAAATTGGTGCTCTGGCTGGTCTTTATTCGTAGGGTTCTTGTGCGAAACCCATACAAGGGAATCTCTTTATTGTTCGGTAGTTTATATCTCCCGAACGTTGTTTGTGTAGGTGGGTAGGTGGTCGGGAAATGGGACGGGCAGTGGTCTAAGGTTTACCGGCATTCGAGCATGTGCCAAACCGAAAAGAGTTCCAGGCACTCGACGACCAAGTACCGCTGCCCACGTTCAGGAGACAAGATGGAAGCCCTTATTAAATATTTTCCTTGCGGTTTAAGTAGTTGTAAAATCCAAAATCCACATGCACAATGTTTCTCAGGTACATTAATATGATTGAGAATCCCCATTCTAACTTTACTCACGGCACTAGCGATACACCAATTGTTAAGGATTTACCTATTTCCCCGTGCTTTGTAATTGGGCCAGCGTGTATCTTCAGAATATCTAACCGTGCTTGCTCATTAGGTAGCTCAATATCTGGGGACAAAAAAAATATTAGTCAAGAGGAAGAAAAGTAACAATCACTCCAAGAAAGTGCTGGTTCTAGACGTACGAATTTTTCTGTCCAGTCTCCCAGGACGCAGCAAGGCAGGATCCAACGTGTCGGGTCTGTTTGTGGCCATAATCATTTTTACTCTATGCAAAGTGTCGAAACCATCCATCTGATTCAGCAACTAGAGGTTCAGAAAAAGCAGTTTAGAGGTTTCTAAAACAGATGTCTATCCTTGGCACATCCTTAGTTCACAAACTAAAAGTTCCCATAACTCCCTGCAAGACACCGACACAACAAGTGTTGGGAGTTCTACGCATAAAAACAGCAATATTTAGATACGAGAAAACAGAAAACACTGGCTTTCTATAAAAAGGAAAGAAAATGCTTACCATAGACACTGAAGGAAAAAAGACAACATCTAGATATTAGGTAAAAGAACAATCCTCAGATGCCAATTTGGACAGGACTTGTCCCTTGCCAGAGACATTAGTTCGGCAGAGTTGTTGCAGCTTTGAAAACCTGCTCTGCTTACAACACCTGAATAGATCCACTACCTCTAGTCTAAGCCTGAAAGTGTTTTGTAACATAATAGGACAGAGTTTACAGCAGTCATTAGATTAGAGTAAGGCTGTCCAACCTGCGGCAGATTTTGCTGAACTACAACTAGAACATGATTCTCTCAATGAAACAGATAGCCAGGGAATCATGGGAGTTGTAGTTCAGCAAACATTTGGGGGGGCCCACAGGTTGGACAGCCCTGCATTAGAGGGTCATGCTGTATATTTCTTTGTTGAACTAAAGACAGTCCCAAGGGTCCAACAGAGGAAAAAAATCCTTCTCCCCTTGCAACAATCAAAGTGAAGCACGGTTTTCAGAAACACATTAGCTAAAAATTACCTCCATCAGAGTTCTCTGGATTTCTCTATCAGCTGACGTGCCTTCAGAAAAACGACGGCCACCTAAAATACAGTAAATGTAGTTAACAGTTAAGCAACTTTCGTTATTAGGACGGCTTTGTAGATTACAATGTTAGGTATTGTGCAGTTAAGGTGCCAATAAGGAGGAAGCCAACTTAACACCTTTGTGATGGATTAAGTCTGTTAGAGACAGAACATACAGGGTATGAAGACCAGTTTAAATGCCCAAATTGCTACCCCTAACCCTGTGTTGTTGACTAGGCTGGTCCCAAGGCTGAGCGATTCTTTGCAAGCCAAGAACAAAGATTACGTGCTGTAGTTGACAGCGATCACACAGACTGTAGACAATCTGCTCTTATGGGTGACATTTTAAGTCGCCCAGTATGGTGGCAGAGTTCCTTCACCAAACAGTGGCCCACAGCAAAGAATAACATTATTGCATTAACGACTGCAGTATCAACCGTTTGGAGAGCTCAAATTGCAGATTTTTCCACTTTATTGAATTAATGAAGAGGCTGGCTAACAGAGTGCAGTCACTAGTTCATTCATATGTAATACTTCACTAAATAACATCTTTGGAGAGACAACACATTCATCAGAAATTAGTGAAACGACTCAAAATGCCTCATATTAAAAAGTCCAATGTTATTTTGCAGATTTGTAGTATAATGTGAGGTAAATGAAATGGGCTCAGAAAACTAAAATAGAAAAAGTATATTTGAAAACAAAATGTCACTTGCAATATGCCCATACAATTTCTTAAAAATCTGGCATATGTCTACATAGGATGTGTTACTGTACACAGGGGCAGTAGCAGAATACAGTAAAGGGAGAAACTATCAGAAACTACTCAGGGAAATGAAACACGAAAAACTAAATATAACTGGTGATAAAATGGTCAAAATGTGCTCAAAAATACCAATTACTTTCTACAACTAGATTATTTTTGTGTAGAGGTTTTGGAATCTGTGATCATTAACTTTATAATCTAGAAGGTCAAATTTAGCAAAGGCTTGGTATTAAAACCATAATTCACTTCTTGTAGTATATGACTTCCGATTTAAACCCTGCCTTTATGATATTAGCAGCAAATCCTGTGTCCTTTACGTATATGAAGAGTAAGGGATAAAGTACAAACACACAGCAAAAGGGTTACAAACTCATGGAATCCCAGAAGAGTCTCTTTTTCAATAGGGATAGGAATGGCTCAACAACCAATACAATGTTTACAAATTGCCAGACACCATATGCAGGATCAGTCTATTTATATTGTCCAATGTTACGCCACCTGTCACTTCTAAGGAGCTTGGCTAGTCAGAAAACTCACCCGTAATGAGTCATGGACCCTCTTGGCTTGTAGTGGCAAGGAACTTAAGGCTGGCTAGCAGCACAAGTCTTGAAATAAGGAGAGATATATGGAAAAGGTTCTTACCTATGGCATCAATTTCATCCATAAAAATGATACACGGCTGGTGGTCCCTGGCATAGTTGAACATCTCTCTAATGAGACGAGCGCTCTCACCAATGTATTTGTCTACGATAGAACTAGAGACCACCTAGAACAGAAGAAAATCAGTAAATGAATGGGATCAGCAGGATGTTTCCTGGTTTCCATGGTGAAAGACCAATGATTGCTCAGGATGACAGGTCTGATGCCTTTTTTGAGGAGATAACCTCATGTGTAGTTTCCTATCCAAGTAAGGGCAGTGGCCCCTAACGTGACATACCTAGAGCCAGGAGTAGAAAAGGTAAGCAGGTTCATATATTTGACATACTTCACCAGAAAGCCACTGCCGTTGTCTATTTTTTGTGCCGTTTTTCCTGACTTAATTTGTATAAAGACAGAAGGAGGTATGTGTCACCTGAGCCGGTCCTATCTTGCTCAATACCTTGTGAGTTTGTAGAATTACAGACTATATTGCATCATATAGTCTCTTTACCCTGTATAGTTTCTCACTGCATACCAATCCCTTAACTCGTAAGGGTAAGGGTTACCCACTACATGCACTGGTAGTAGTTTTGGCCACACAGTGCTCGGTTTTCGATTTGTGATTCTGTGTGTAGTCAGGAAGAGACACATAGCGTGGTAGCCAAGTTAAGTATATCATGTTACACACGAGGGAATGAAGCGCTCATATTGCACAGATCACTTTGTTATTTCCTATGTAGTTTTAGTGCCACACAGATCAAGGATGCTCCTCTACTGACATTAACAAAAAACCTCACCTTTAAGAAATTGCAGTCCAGCTGGCTGGCAACAGCTCTCGCTAAAAGAGTTTTCCCAGTACCTAGAAAGAACAGAGCACATTTACAAGCAAGGCATTTTTACAAAGTAAATCCTTTCATCTTCTTGAGAGGAAGTTAAGAAAACCCCAGTACATTAAACCAAATGGTGACATTTTACAGATGTTTCTCTTCTTTTCTTATGGCTTTCGGTTCCTCCTTCTGTCACTCTAGCAAATTATAATTGAAAAGCAGAACAGAAGTACAGAATGCATATTTCGTAGCTACATGCTCAATGCCCGATGATTCCCTGCAGGATGGGAGTTATGAGCTATTGAGATTGCTTACGATGCCAGGCTGTGCAACAACTGCAATGCGCTCCCATACACAAACCGACAAGGTTTCTATTCATAAAAAGCAGCAACCTTCTACTGCGTGCTTAAACGCCCAAATGAAAAAAAAAAAATCAGAAAAGACCTTTATTAATGTTTTGAAAACTAAACACCACCACCCTGTATTTTCCTCATACTTTTATCTAAAGCTGAAGTTGTGTTTCTGACATGTCACGTGTTTTGTCACCATAAAGTCTATTTGTATTGTACCTTTGGCATCTAAATTATGATTGACACCAAAACAACCTTTTATTGAAGCTGTTTTTTTATGTATAGATCATGCTCCTGCAGTCTCACTGCCATTTAGAAGTTAAATCACTGTTTATGCAGCCTTAGTCATACCTCCCCTGACTGAAACTCACACAGCCTTCCTACACCCTTTCTGAAACACTGTGGCAAGTGATTTAACTCCTAAATGGCAGAGAATTGAGCAGCGAGACTGGAGGGGCATGATCTATACTCCAATACAGCTTCTTTAACCCCTTAAGGACACATGACGTGTGTGACATGTCACGATTCCCTTTTATTCCAGAAGTTTGGTCCTCAAGGGGTTAAAGGCATCCTATAGAGCCAGGAAAACAAACCCGTTTGCCTGGCACTATAGGCTCCTGGATTTCCCCCCTCCCTCGGGGCTGAAGGGGTTAATGGCCACGAGCGCATTAGACTTCCCCATAGGAAAGCATTATTCAATGCTTTCCTATGGGGAAAATCTGACGCTGGAGGTCCACGAGGATGTCCAGCGTCAGATAACGGATCAAAAGTCTGTTTGGACTCCGGAAGCCCTCTAGTGGCTCTCTGGTAGTCAGCCACAGAGGGCAGACTTAGATCTGCAATGTAAATATTCTCTGGAACTGCAATGTTTAACATTGCAGCACCTAGTGCAAAAGGGTCACAGCACCCAGACCACTTCAATGAGCTGAAGTGGTATGGGTGTCTACAGTGTCCTTTAAACTAAAGTTGTTTTAATGCTTAGCAAGTGCATGGAAAAATAAATATATAAAAAAGATCTAGACCTGGTGGGCCATACAGCAGACAGCCCTTTGGAGGTATTATTCCAACACGCTGAAACAGCTCTGGGTTTGTGAGGGGGAGTTCAATGACCTGTAAACACAAAAGTTTATTACAGAAAGGGTTAGAGAATTCTCCCTAGGAATATTTCCTCAACAAATACTGTAAAATATTGGAACACACCAGTCATCAAACTAAGTTAAGAAAAAACAAAAACCCAACAACCCAATACTCATGCTGATCTTTTGCCATTATTACCGCTAATCCAGCATCTCTTTAAGGAATACATAGATTTCATAACTTACAAATACCAACTATAGTTCACATTTAGCAAAGAACAATAAGATATTCATTAAACAATGGATTCCAATGAAAGGAAGTGAAGTAATGATTTGGCGTTTATTTTAAGAGCTTCCTCAATGGGGTTTTGGGATTGTCTTTGAAACGTGTTTCCTTAAAACAATACCTCTCTAAGCTCTCTGATTTGTTCAGAAAGCCCTCCAATCTCCGAGTAGGACACATCTCCTGGGTCCTCATGAGACATGTTGTACACCAGAGGATCCACTTCTCGTGGTAAATAACTGCAGTTGGGGTGAAATAAACATTGGGAATAATCAGTTGGCCGGCAAAAGTAGATTATATTACAAGCTGCATAGACTCTACAGACTGACAAAGACCATCTAGAGAGAGATGAAGAGAGAGATTCTTGCACTACACATAGAAAAGGCCTCTCACTGCTTGTAGGAAGAAGTACATGGCACGACATAACCAGGTTACCTCCTAAACAAACATCAGATATCCAATAAATTCCATCCACCCACCTCAATATAACACTTACCGCATGATAGTCAGAGTCGTCATGTCCAAGGCTACTCTAGTCCCCGGCTTCAGCTTACTTTTATCCAGCTGAACAAAAACAAACAATCAAAGAACTATATACAGACATGTTGGTATATTGCAGCTACATTAGTGTTACTGAAAGAGCTTCATTCAAACTGGAGCCCACTCCCTGTATGTCAATGTTCTATAAGAATATATATTATTTATTTTTACACGCATACACAGAGAAAATGAGTTAATGCCAAAATGGTGTAACCATTTCAAACGACAGAAGAATAAGATGGTTTTAAGTGGAAAACGTCCATTTTGGCTTCAGACATAAAACCCATTTCCAAGTTTATCCTTCTAACCAATGAATTCCTCAAGACGTGCTTCAGTTACACATTCTCGGAGTATTAGAGTAGATATCTGTAAGATCCCATTCAGGACGGATAATGCAAATATTGAGAGTAATGGTCAAAACTGTAATTTTGGTCAAGTTAGCAGAATTTGTTTAAATGCTGAGATTATTTTGAAAAAATTATTTTAAATTAAGGTTACCTGTCGACGACAGCCAACAACATATCTTGGTCCATTTGTAGCTTTTACAATAACTGGTAAAAAAAGAAAATAATACAAATATATAGAATTATTTTTTTTTAAAGGTTACTGGTTTTGCCATTTATAACGTATGCTACGCTTTTTAAAGAACACATATAAATATATTATATAAACACACATACCGCATGGCTAGATGAAGGGAAAACACCATTTATAACTCCCACCTACCAATTGTATGTCTATATACTGAAGAATTGATTGACCAGGGAAAGCAGAAAATCTCTCAAAGGCAATCCTTCTACTCTTCCAGCATAGCAATCACAGCATGTGGTCATGACCAACGCTGCTAGTGCCGGCTAGGTAGTATAGGAACAGAGAGACTGACATCACACACTCCATTTTCCCAGTTTAGTTACTCTAACTGTTTTACATGCCCTGCAGTCAACGTAGCACTAACTTGCTGTTAAGTGAATATGTAATCATTTTTATATATATATATACTTACATTTTTCCTCTGTCAGTTGTTTGAGAACTTCTCCAACAATCTAAAAGCAGAATAAAAGGAATGTGAATTTAGTCAGTCCGCACAGCTGGATAATGTGAATCTTCTATCACTCAGAATCATACCTGCCCCACACTTTGTAGAGCCTTCAGATCATTTTCAGATTTCTCATACTGTTTTGTTAGCTCCCTCAGTTGTTCACGCACTACAAAATAAATCATAAATCAATGTACGTATTGTTAACAATAACTAGATAGAGCTGCTTAACCCCATTCTAGCCAGCTATTAATAGCAGCAATATATGGGCATGGCTCGATCTATGCTAAGCGTAACACACACCAGCTCGCAGAATGAGAATAGAGAGGGCGGCAGAGTATGATTAACCATTTGGTGATATTAGGCAACCAAATAAAGTCCGGGGGTCGGAAGAGCCTCTCACTGAGGAAACGCAATACGGTTGGATTTTAAATTGAAACTTTCTGGGTATTTTAATATTATGTTTACTTACTGCTGTAAGTAAAATCTTTGTGAGATGTGAAAAATAAAGTGAAAGGTAGAAATCCACAACTCTCTATCCTGTAACTGGAAACCTCCCTTTTAGCTTAGCAAGCTGTCAATCATTGTTATAAGCTCCGCCCTTTACACCTGGCAGTCAGCATAGAGAGAGCCACCTCCATCTTAGCTCCCTGTCAATCATTGTTATAAGCTCCGCCCATTACACCTGGCAGTCAGTATAGAGAGAGCCACCTCCATCTTAGCTCCCTGTCAGTCATTGTTATAAGCTCCGTCCATTACACCTGGCAGTCAGTATAGAGAGAGCCGCCTCCATCTTAGCTCCCTGTCAATCATTGTTATAAGCTCCGCCCTTTACACCTGGCAGTCAGTATAGAGAGAGCCGCCTCCATCGTAGCTCCCTTTCAATCATTGTTATAAGCTCCGCCCATTACACCTGGCAGTCAGTATAGAGAGAGCCGCCTCCATCGTAGCTCCCTTTCAATCATTGTTATAAGCGCCGCTCTTTAGACCTAGCAGTCAGTATAGAGAGAGCCGCCTCCGTCTTAGCTCCCTGTCAATCATTGTTATAAGCTCCGCCCTTTACACCTGGCAGTCAGTATAGAGAGAGCCACCTCCATCTTAGCTCCCTGTCAATCACTGCTATAAGCTCCGCCCACTGGAATAAATGAAACCATTTTTCTATACATTTGCAATATATGCCCAGGATGTGCCTTGTCTGAACTGGATTATGATTTAATTTACTAAACTAAAGTAAAACCAATAGTAAATGCAACATTTCATGAAAAAAATTAAAAAAATTGGAGAGGTTATTGGTGATTTCTCCCCCCCCCCCATTTGAAAAGTTTTTATAGATTTTTTTTTTAAACAAAATAAAGGGAGAGGGTACAGAACAGAAAAGGATTTGTACATTAGGCAATTGTTCAAAGAAAGACTAGTACGGTCTATTTACTGAAGCGTATTCGATATCACTTGAAGGACATCCGATTTTTATTCTCCATTGACCATAGGTAGTGGGGTCCTCACCAAATATTAGAGGGTGAGACTACTAGATCAGCCTGGGCCACTGCAATCGGCAGCTATAGCGTTGGATCTTATTGCCCCAATGGTGTAGGAGATACCATTTTCTGTAGGAGAGTAAGGCATGTTGGTTTAAGGTGTCCTGCCTCATGTTAAAGGATCACTATAGGGTCAGGAACACAAACATGTATTCCTGACCCTATAGTGTTAAAACCACCATCTAGCCCCCCTGGGCCCCTCATGCCTTCATAAATATAGCAAAATCTTACTGTATTCAAGCCTGAAGCTGTAACTCTGCATGCTGTTAGACTCAGAAAAACAAGCAGTCTGCTGACATCATCAGAAGTGGTAGCCTGATCCAATCACAGTGCTTCCCCATAGGGTTGGCTGAGACTGACAAAGAGGCAGATCAGGGTCAGAGCCAGCATGATTCAAACACAGCCCTGGCCAATCAGCATCTCCTCAAAGAGATGAATTGAATCAATGAATCTCTATGAGGAAAGTTCAGTGTCTGCATGCAGAGGGAGGAGATACGGAATGTTTGGATGCATTTTAGGCAGCTATCACCCAGGAAGGATCTCTAACAGCCATCTGAGGAGTGGCCAGGGAAGTTATCACTAGGCTGTAATGTAAACACTGTATTTTCTCTGAAATTACAGTGTTTACAGCAAAAAGCCAGAAGGGAATGATTCTACTCACCAGAACAAATTCAATAAGCTGGGTACTATATAATAAGCTGGGTACTATATAATAAGCTGGGTACTATATAATAAGCTGGGTACTATATAATAAGCTGCAGTTGTTCTGGTGACTATAGTGTCCCTTTAAGTTTCAGTTGTGTAAATTCTAGATAAGTGCCAGTTCCTTGTTAAATCTTCTCAGACTGTGGTATGACAGGGTTGATAGTGGAGCTCTCTGGGTAGTGGGATGACGACAGTGGAGCTCTGTGATAGTGTTGGTGGAGCTCTGTGACGGTGGAGCTCTGTGACGGTGGAGCTCTGTGACGGTGGAGCTCTGTGACGGTGGAGCTCTGTGACGGTGGAGCTCTGTGACGGTGGAGCTCTGTGACGGTGGAGCTCTGTGTTGGTGGAGCTCTGTGTTGGTGGAGCTCTGTGATGGTGGAGCTCTGTGATGGTGGAGCTCTGTGATAGTGTTAGTGGAGCTCTGTGATGGTGGAGCTCTGTGATGGTGGAGCTCTGTGATAGTGTTAGTGGAGCTCTGTGATGGTGGAGCTCTGTGATAGTGTTAGTGGAGCTCTGTGATGGTGGAGCTCTATGTTGGTGGAGCTCTGTGATAGTGTTAGTGGAGCTCTGTGATGGTGGAGCTCTGTGATGGTGGAGCTCTGTGATGGTGGAGCTCTGTGATGGTGGAGCTCTGTGATGGTGGAGCTCTGTGATAGTGTTAGTGGAGCTCTGTGATGGTGGAGCTCTGTGATGGTGGAGCTCTGTGATGGTGGAGCTCTGTGATGGTGGAGCTCTGTGATGGTGGAGCTCTGTGATAGTGTTAGTGGAGCTCTGTGATGGTGGAGCTCTGTGATGGTGGAGCTCTGTGATGGTGGAGCTCTGTGATAGTGTTAGTGGAGCTCTGTGTTGGTGGAGCTCTGTGCCCAGCTCCCAGGCCGCCATGACACAGCTTATTTGCCCCCCGCCTCCCCCTCCCTGCCCCCCCCCGGCCCTCTCTCCCCCCCACTCACACTCCTTCAGCCGCCCGTCGATCTCCTTGTGCTCCAGCAGTTTCTTCCTGTAATCCTGCAGAGCCTTCTCCCGTGGATCCGCCATGATGAGAAGCCGCTGCTCGTAGGGAATGCTGGGAAGGGCCATGTCCGCCGGGGGAGGACCCAACACCAGCGAGTCCGCCAGAAATACTCTGCCAGAGCGGCCCTGCGGCCAACACGGCACAGCTCGCGTCACAGCGCCACCCCTGCCGGCCGGCGGTACTGCACCTGCAGCTCACTAACTGGGAGACCCTGAGCCAGGAAACCATGGCAACACATCTACCCTCCCCCATCCCTGGGCCAGGAAACCATGGCAACACAGCTACCCTCCCCCATCCCTGAGCCAGGAAACCATGGCAACACAGCTACCCTCCCCCATCCCTGGGCCAGGAAACCATGGCAACACAGCTACCCTCCCCCATCCCTGAGCCAGGAAACCATGGCAGCACATCTACCCCAACCCCATCCCTGAGCCAGGAAACCATGGCAACACAGCTACCCTCCCCCATCCCTGAGCCAGGAAACCATGGCAACACAGCTACCCTCCCCCATCCCTGAGCCAGGAAACCATGGCAACCCATCTACCCTCCCCCATCCCTGAGCCAGGAAACCATGGCAACACAGCTACCCTCCCCCATCCCTGAGCCAGGAAACCATGGCAACACAGCTACCCTCCCCCATCCCTGAGCCAGGACACCATGGCAGCCCATCTAACCTCCCCCATCCCTGAGCCAGGAAACCATGGCAACACATCTACCCTCCCCCATCCCTGAGCCAGGAAACCATGGCAACACATCTACCCTCCCCCATCCCTGAGCCAGGAAACCATGGCAGCCCATCTCCGAGCCAGGAAACCATGGCAACACATCTACCCTCCCCCATCCTTGGGCCAGGAAACTATGACAGCCCATCTACCCCCCCATCCCTGAGCCAGGAAACCATGGCAACACAGCTACCCTCCACCATCCCTGGGCCAGGAAACCATGGCAGCCCATCTACGAGCAAGGAAACAATGGCAACACATCTACCCTCCTCCATCCCTGGGCCAGGAAACTATGGCAGCCCATCTACCTCCCCTCATCCATGAGCCAGGAACCATGGTGCCCATCTACCTCCCCATCCTTAGCCAGGAAACCATGGCAGCCCATCTCCTCCCATCGATGGAGCCAGGAAACCATGGCAACACATCTACCCCCATCCTGAGCCAGGAAACCATGCACACAGCTACCTCCCCATCGGGCCAAGAAACCATGTTAACTAACCCCCATCCCTGGCCAGGAAACCATGGCAGCCATCTACCAGCCGGAAACCATGGCAACACATCTACCCTCCCCATCTCTGGGCCATGGCAGCCCATCTGGCCCCCCACACATCCATGAGCCAGGGAAACCATGGCAACACATCTACCTCACCTCATCCATGAGCCAGGAAACCATGGCAGCCCATCTACTTTCCCCATCGATATGAGCTAGGAAACCATGGCAACACATCCCCCCTATCCTGAGCCAGGAAACCACACACAGCTACCCTCCCCATCCCTGGGCCAGAAACCATGGTAGCCAATCCCCCATCCATGAGCCAGGAAACCATGCCAACACATCTACCACCCCCCCCCTATCGGTGGGCCTGGAAACCATGGCAGCCCATCTACCCTCCCCCATCCCTGAGACAGGAAACCATGGCAACCCATCTACCCCCATCCCTGAGACAGGAAACCATGGCAACCCATCTACCCCCATCCCTGAGACAGGAAACCATGGCAGCCCATCTACCCTCCCCATCCATGAGCCAGGAAACCATGGCAGCCCATCTACCCCCATCCCTAGGCCAGGAAAACATGGCAACACATCTACCCCCCATCCCATGGCAGGTCATCTACCCAGGGCTGATAAAAGGCTTCCTGTGGGGCAGCGCTCCCATCGTTGGGTCAGGAAACCATGGCAGCCCATCTACCCAGGGCTGATAAAAGGCTTTCTGTGGAGCAGTGCTCCCATCCCTGGGTCAGGAAACCATGGCAGCCCAACTACCAAGGAAGTTTTTTTAGGCTCTAACAAATAAATATCCCCCAACACCAATGCAGTTAAAGCTGGAGTGTGTAAATCTGTATATATAATCTCTCTCAAAATATGAAGCCTCCTGACTTTATTAAAATTAAGAATTTTTTTTGGTCACTATAGCTCGAGTAATCTACGTAAGAAAACAGATCGTGCCAGTGTCTATGTATACAGTAACATGCTTGTGAAGAATCACCCTCCCTACATTCGGTACGTTTCCTCCCTGCTACTTTGTTTGTGGAATCCACTATCTTTTATTGTGGGTTGTTCGGTACTTTGATTCGTTAGAATCCCTTGTTCGGTAAAATAGCTATTTTACCGAACAAGGACCACCCTGGGTAACAATTAGAACTTAGAATCCGTGTTATTACCTGAAACCGCAAGCTAATTGAGTGCTCCTGGGTGGCCGCCCTTTCAAGATACGAACACGTGGCGAGAACAATGGATGGCGGCCATCTTAAACTCCAGACTTAGGCGACGAGTGCCTGGAACGATTTTCGGCATGGCTCTCCAGCAATCCCCGGTCCCCCATGAAAGTTCCGTTGGACCCATTTCCACAAATGGCGTTCGGGAGTATCAATCTACTGAACGAGGGGAGCACTCTCATGTAACCAGCTACATTACATCTATTGGTGTCTTCTTGCAATTTTTATCCGAACGGAGACCGGCTCGCACCACTGATTTCATGGAACTCTGAGTTGGCTACAACCTCGTGGCGAGCCGGTCAAACTTCCACACGGTATAACGCCAAAACTACTGAACGGATTCACACGAAATTTGGATATGTTGCTCACATCACCCTCAGCTACCCAGGGATATGATATTAGTTTTTATATTGATATGTTATGCATAAAGTATGTTTCTAATAATTGTGAAAAATTTAAACTTTTCTGGACACTAGATAATTGAGTTTGATAAGTTGTTCAAACCCAATTATCTACCCTGGCCCAAAGGAGGAGTTATGTACTGTATAAATTGTGTGCCGTTTTTCAGTAAATCAGACTTGTTCCAGCATTAAGCTTTGGCTCATGTGTGGATTATTCGGCGATACCAGCGATTTATTACTGTGGATTACTTGGCGAATTTATTTTATGGGAAGAAGGGAATGCTTGACGGAGTAAAGGATTATACCGTCACAATGCTGCTCTCCATAGATTCGTGTCTGCGTACAAACATTAGAACCTCGCTCTCTCCTGGCTAGATAGGCTTCGTTTATTAAAAGTGATGATTAATATATTTACTTAACCCCATTTTTGACAAATAATTGTAAGTTTATACATAGAAAGGGTCGTGCTCAATTTTAGGTTGGTTTTCAGGCACATTTCCTATTTGGGCAGATTTATTCCCTCATTTAACCTCATCCCTTAATGTGCCTCTTCCATCACTTTATTCTGCTTTTCGATTTTGTTTTTCTCCTCAGTTCACAAATGTGTCGCTCCCAAAATATAAAATAAGAGGAGCAAGAATCTACCTTTCATTTTTTTTCTTCTTCCCCTTTCAGAGCAGCAATGTTCCTATGAAACAAACAGTTTTAAATGATTCCACGTCATTTTTTTTTATTTTTTTTAAAGTAAAAGGGCCTTTTAATGGTCAATTATTTTCAGGTTTCAGCGAAACGGAGCAGGAACTGGCTGTGATCTCACAGCTTTACTTGCTTTAGATAAATTAGCATGTGTATTTGCTAACTAATTTAGAGTTTCATCCATTAACGACATACATTTTTCATGAACATCGTTCCGATCAACGGCAAAAGAGAGGAAAGAAAGTTGTGCTTGTACGTGGAACCACCTTGCACAAGACTGCTGAATGAAGTGTCAGACCGCATGGCGCAGGTATTGCAGCCCTGACACAGCTGTACTATTCCAGTCTAGGGTGTTCCTTAGCTCCTGTTAGAATAAGGAATCTGGGCACCTGGGCAGACCTACCATGGCAATTCCTTCCACAAAGCTCTAACAGAGGCAGCCTTTAGCTGAGTGTGTATTTTTACGTACAGATGTGAAATCAGCTCAAACCGATGGGAAAGCCTGACCCAGGATATATTTGAGTCTGCCGTGACACCAGTTCTGAATTCAAGCTGATGGCTGTTTTCATTTAAGTCACTAAGTTCCAATGTCTGTGTAATCATAATGATTCTATCTTTAAAGAATATCTTGAGCTAGAAAAGGACAGCCAAAGCTAGACCTGTAAGAACTGCATTAAGTATTCAGGGACCACAATATAAGGAAGCAAAAAATGCACACGCTCCTTAAAGGACCACTACAGTGCCAGGAAAACATACTCGTTTTCCTGGCACTATAGTGCCCTGAGGGTGCCCCCACCCTCAGGGACCCCCTCCCGCCCGGCTCTGGAAGGAGGAAAGGGGTTTAAACTTACCTTTTTCCAGCGCTGGGCGGAGAGCTCTCCTCCTCCGATCCTCCTTAGCTCTCGGCCGGCTGAATGCTAACACGGCCGCGCGCGCGATTCAGCTGGTCTCATAGGAAAGCATTTACAATGCTTTCCTATGGACGCTGGCGTGCTCTCACTGTGATTTTTCACAGTGAGAAGCACGAAGCGCTTCTAGTGGCTGTCAATGAGACAGCCACTAGAGGATTAGGGGGAAGGCTTAACCCATTCATAATTATAGCAGTTTCTCTGAAACTGCTATAATTATGAAAAAAATGGGTTAACCCTAGCTGGACCTGGCACCCAGACCACTCCATTAAGCTGAAGTGGTCTGGGTGCCTAGAGTGGTCCTTTAATGAGTAATGTGTAAAATGCCATAGTGAGAATCTAGACCAGGCTTCCCCAAACTCCGGCCCTCCAGATGTTGCTGAACTTCAACTCCCATGATTCTATGAATGAAATAAATAGGCTGAGAATCATGGGAGTTGTAGTTCAGCAACATCTGGAGGGCCAGAGTTTGGGGAAGCCTGCTCTAGACTTTAAAAAGGTCTCGAGCCACACTAAATACATCATATCACAGACATACATTATGTATTCAACATAAAGTACTGAGATACTAACCTCCAATTCAGCGTCATCTCTTCCTTAAATTTGTGGTTGTTTCTTTAATGGTAGCACCCACCTCTTGTCTGCCAAGCAGGAGAAACAAAAAGGACAACGCCAGGGGACCCCAGGCACTATAACCACTTCAATGAGATGCAATGGTTATACTGCCTACAATGTCAACTTGAGTTGTCCAGGATGGAAAATATCCCTTTCTTTACCAAGAGCAAGGCTGATGTCAGTGGAGCAGGATATTGCACATATATTTTATATATTAGGATTCTTGTTAGCATTTTTACTAAATTATTCTCTTACTAGCAGTTATAGCTTGTACAGTGCTACATTATATGTTGGTGCTACATAAATGATTAAAGTGAAGGCGGTTTTCTCCACATGTCTAAATCTAGCCCTGATAGTTTACAGTGGTTTGTAATAGGATGGATCATGCTTAATGTTCTTTAAGGAATGCTATTGATTTCCCACTAATTAGTAATACATACTCTGCTTTAAATGAAACTCCAGGCACCAAAACAACTTCATCTAAATAAAATTGTTATGGTGCCAGGAAGCACTCTTACCTCGAGGGGTTAAACAGCACGAGATGCGACTCGCCTTTCACAAAACTGGCTTGGAAAAGGTGCAGTTCACCGATTGACAGAGTGTCAATTAATTGGCTGGAGAGCGGTTTAACCCCTTGAGATGAAAGTGGCCTCCTGGCATCATAACGTCACTTGGATGAAGCCGTGTTGATGCCTGGAGTGTCCCTTTAAGCACACATTAACACACAAAACATAATATAATTAATAAAACATTTCTTTTTAAATGAAAGTCATTGTGTATTTTTGTTTTTAACAACATTGAAAAGAAAAAAAGAAAAGAAAATTTATTTTCCAATAAAATCTTTCACTTATAGGCAACAAATTGTATAGAGTGCTAACAATCACAACAGGTCAATAGTTTCCATGATTTTTCCCTCTAAATTATATTAGAAATGTTTCTATGGTAACTGGTCAACTGAAGGCATTTCTAGCTATGTCCGAACTGTGACTAATTGGACGAGTAATACGAATATTGCTGCATGAGGGCTCAATAAACAAAATCCAATTTATAAAAGGAGAGACAGGATACAGAGATAAGCAGCGAGTACTGGATTTGCTAGACTCATAGAGCATTGCAATACTTGATAAATATTTCACACAATTTCTCAGTCTTCGTTAAACATGAAAAAAAAAAAAATCTTCCCATCGGCACAAAAATGGGAATATCGTCAAAATTTGGAAGCAGTGTGTTTATTTTTTTCATTTCGAGTAAATGGGATCCAAAAACCAAATCTTCCTTGAGAACAGGTTTGTGTTGGACCAGACGCCTATAGTGCTAAATGTTTGCATGCAATTAACTGGAACCAGGATCCTCAGAAGTTGCTTCTTAAGAGCTCACCAATACGTAGATCATACTAGAGGTGAGGAAAGAGAAGATAATTAACAAATGCTTAATCATATTAAATAAAAACTAGGCCAAAGACAGCATGCAATACAGGTCTCTATCTGAATGATAATGTTATTGTCTCTGATTCTTCCCATATTTCTGCTACCATCTGTCCATTGCGAGCAATGCTCCTAGGGTTGAAAGATCCACCATAATTCCCCAGACCTGTGTTCTTCATTCTGATTGCTGGTACAGGAAAGATCGCCTTGTGGTATGAAGCAGAATTCACATGCAGAAAAGACAGCATTTTGGAATACCTCCTCGATTGATAGATTTACACAAATTAGCAAAACAGCCGATTAACCCAATTCATGGACAATCCATTTGTGAAAACTGATGAATCCGGAAAAGGTCAATTTGTCAAACATCTCATTATAAGAAGTTATACAATCGCTATGCTTATCTACGGAGATTTCCATAACTGCCATCCATCAATCAGCATCACAAGGTGACATTCTATGTTTATTAATATAACTGCCATCCATCAAACAGTATCACACGGTGACATTCTATGTTTATTAATATAACTGCCATCCATCAATCAGTATCACACGGTGACATTCTATGTTTATTAATATAACTGCCATCCATCAAACAGTATTACACGGTGACATTCTATGTTTATTAATATAACTGCCATCCATCAATCAGCATCACAAGGTGACATTCTATGTTTATTAATATAACTGCCATCCATCAATCAGCATCACAAGGTGACATTCTATGTTTATTAATATAACTGCCATCCATCAAACAGTATCACACGGTGACATTCTATGTTTATTAATATAACTGCCATCCATCAATCAGTATCACACGGTGACATTCTATGTTTATTAATATAACTGCCATCCATCAAACAGTATTACACGGTGACATTCTATGTTTATTAATATAACTGCCATCCATCAATCAGCATCACAAGGTGACATTCTATGTTTATTAATATAACTGCCATCCATCAATCAGCATCACAAGGTGACATTCTATGTTTATTAATATAACTGCCATCCATCAAACAGTATCACACAGTGACATTCTATGTTTATTAATAAAACTACCATCAATCAGTATCACACGGTGACATTCTATGTTTATTAATATAACTGCCATCAAACAGTATCACACGGTGACATTCTATGTTTATTAATATAACTGCCATCCATCAAACAGTATCACACAGTGACATTCTATGTTTATTAATAAAACTACCATCAATCAGTATCACACGGTGACATTCTATGTTTATTAATATAACTGCCATCCATCAATCAGTATCACACGGTGACATTCTATGATTATTAATATAACTGCCATCCATCAATCAGTATCACACGGTGACATTCTATGTTTATTAATATAACTGCCATCCATCAAACAGTATTACACGGTGACATTCTATGTTTATTAATATAACTGCCATCCATCAATCAGCATCACAAGGTGACATTCTATGTTTATTAATATAACTGCCATCCATCAAACAGTATCACACAGTGACATTCTATGTTTATTAATAAAACTACCATCAATCAGTATCACACGGTGACATTCTATGTTTATTAATATAACTGCCATCCATCAAACAGTATCACACAGTGACATTCTATGTTTATTAATAAAACTACCATCAATCAGTATCACACGGTGACATTCTATGTTTATTAATATAACTGCCATCCATCAATCAGTATCACACGGTGACATTCTATGATTATTAATATAACTGCCATCCATCAATCAGTATCACAAGGTGACATTCTATGTTTATTAATATAACTGCAATCCATCAATCAGTATCACAAGGTGACATTCTATGTTTATTAATATAACTGCCATCCATCAAACAGTATCACAAGGTGACATTCTATGATTATTAATATAGCTGCCATCCATCAATCAGTATCACACGGTGACATTCTATGTTTATTAATATAACTGCAATCCATCAATCAGTATCACAAGGTGACATTCTATGTTTATTAATATAACTGCCATCCATCAAACAGTATCACAAGGTGACATTCTATGATTATTAATATAGCTGCCATCCATCAATCAGTATCACAAGGTGACATTCTATGTTTATTAATATAACTGCCATCCATCAATCAGTATCACACGGTGACATTCTATGTTTATTAATATAACTGCAATCCATCAATCAGTATCACAAGGTGACATTCTATGATTATTAATATAGCTGCCATCCATCAATCAGTATCACAAGGTGACATTCTATGATTATTAATATAACTGCCATCCATCAATCAGTATCACAAGGTGACATTCTATGTTTATTAATATAACTGCAATCCATCAATCAGTATCACAAGGTGACATTCTATGTTTATTAATATAACTGCCATCCATCAAACAGTATCACAAGGTGACATTCTATGATTATTAATATAGCTGCCATCCATCAATCAGTATCACACGGTGACATTCTATGTTTATTAATATAACTGCAATCCATCAATCAGTATCACAAGGTGACATTCTATGTTTATTAATATAACTGCCATCCATCAAACAGTATCACAAGGTGACATTCTATGATTATTAATATAGCTGCCATCCATCAATCAGTATCACAAGGTG